CTGTTAAGCCGGGGTTGCAGGACCCCTCCCGCCAGCAGGCCCACCACTGTGTCCAGGCCTCTGCTGTCAGCAGACACGGCGTACATGGTGGTGTCTCTGGAGAAGACAAGCCAGCGATGCCATGTACAGAGCCCACCTGCGACAGGGCACCTCGCCAACACACAGACTGTCCCTCTTCCTATCTCAGAGGGTGCACTCCCAGGGGACGGGAACCTCCGTGCACTTAAACAAGACCACGTGGAGCAGACACAGCCGCTCCCCAACACGGGCACAGGCTCATGTAGCCTTGGCCGAAAGACAGGTGGCCGGACCTCCATCCAGATGCACCGTGTGATTGGCCCTGTACAAAGCCCAGAGCCAGCACCATCCACCTCGCGCATGCCACCTCCAGCTTACGAAGGAGCTCACCACCTGGTCAGAGCTTGTGCCGCACCCCTCCGGTGCCAGACCACTGCCACTTCCAGCTCCCTGCCCGGAGCCATGGCAGCGGCTGGCCCCTAGGTCTGGAATGCCTCCAGCCTTGTCCACCACCTAGGCACAGCCCTCGGCCTTCCCAACACCTGGCTGCCCCGGCGCAGGGAGGCACTTCCCTCAGTGCTGCCCCCGGGCATTCGGCCCACCCCTACCCCCCGGCCAGGGCTCGGGTCCCACCCGTCTCCACAGGCTCTCCTTGGGGGACCTCGGGGGAATTCTTGTCCCCTGGACACAAAGTGGGGCTGTGTGTCACAGCTGGGTACCTTGATGTCTGGCAGTCACAAATTCCCCCGTGCTTTTCCAAGGTCAGCAAGATCTCATCTCTGCTATCAAAGCGAGCTGTAGACTAGAAATAAGTCAGAGGGCCTGGATGAGCAGTCCCGGACACCAAAAGACTCTGTCACTAAGCCTTTTTCGAAGGCATGTGTGCTTGCCAGGGAGAGACTGAGAAAGAAGGAAACTGACAGGCCAGCAGGTGGCATAGCTGTTACGTTGCTGGACTCCCACATGGCCAACTGCAGTTCAAGTCCTGGACCCTGTGGCTTGAAACTCACGCTGGGCATGTGTGCATGTGTGTCCAAGATCCCAGGAAGAGAATGGAGGAGGGACTGTGGTGTGGCCAGGCGCCAGAGGGGTGGTCTCACTTTCCCTGTCTCTTCCTCCTCTTGCAAATGCACATGCCCTAAGGTAAAAACCTCAAAGAAAGATTAAAAAGAAAGAAAGTGGGGAGAACACCCCCCTCGTGGGAGATGTTCAGACAGCAGTCCCTTCCCCGTTCCCCTTTATGGGATTCTGGGCTCGCACATGCGTCAGGCGTGCTCTTCAAGTCGCCGGGTCCAGGACTTCAACTGTGTCAGCGGCCATGTGAGATCCAGCACCTTCACTATCATGCCACCAGCTGATCCCTAAAATGTTACTTAAAAAATAATTTTTCTTTTTACTTTGAAAGCTGGGACCAGCAGATGGTGTAATGGCTATGTTGCTGGACTCCCACATAGTCAACCACGGTTTGAGTCCCAGACCTGGCGTGCCCAAAATCCCGAGATGAAAATGGAGAAGGGATTGCAGCGTGGTCATTCCCCCGGGGGAGATTTCTTGTTTTCTGTCTTGTTTCTCTCTGGCGAGTACGTGTGCCCTATAGCGAAAATCTCTCTTCAAAAGAAAATTGTCAGGACCAGCAGTTAGCGTAATAGCTAGGCAGCTAAACTCCTATGTAGCCAACTGCGGTTCGAGTACCTGGAGGTTTAAACTCACGCCAGGCATGTGTGTGTGTGCCCAAGATCCCGAGAGGAGAATGAAGGAGAAGGGATTGCGGCCTGGCCATCTCCCCTGGGGGGATGATTTCTCGCTTTGTATCTCTCTGGCAAGTGCATGTGCCCTATAGCAAAAACCTCTCCAAAAAAAAATTATCTTGAAACTTGAATCTTTTCTTACTGCTAACGTAGTAACTTAATAACCTACTTTTTTTTTTTGAGAGAGAGATTTTAATAACCTACTTAAACAACCATTTGAACAAAGAAAACCCCTAAAAGGTCCCTCCCAGAATCTCAAAACAACAAACTGAACACTGACCGAAAATGCCAACTTTTCCAAAAAGTGAGCAATTCCACTGAGGTACTTGGCTTCGTATCTTGATCCCGAATTGATAAGGACTGGTTGGTGACAAAAAGAAAACTGGTTAACTCGCAAGTTCAAAATGGAAGACTTAATAATCAAGATAAAGCTTTCAAGGCGGTGACCACCTCATCAGACTCGGCTGTTCAAGAGATACAGCGTCCGTCCCCTCCATCGTCAAAGTGGTTTCACGCGTGTGGCCGGCACTCACATTCATGGTGCAAGCCATAAAGGTTCCAGAGAAGGAGGGTCTCTAAAACCGGCCGCTGTCACACGACTCGCTGACATGCCCCCCATGCCCGGCACAATGCGTACTTGGCCCCCCCGTCATGGCTGATGGCCAGCTCGGCCCGACGCCCCAGCGGCACTTACTTCCGACCGTACAGAACTGGCCAAACTTATTCTGAGAGGCCACGCGAAGCCCATTATCCAGCGTGGTGACTCTGGTTTCAAACTTTTCCTGTCTGTCAACTGTCGCAAAAACAGGCTTGGGTACTCCGGGCAAGGGGGAGGAGAGGGGCACGCTGGGACAGGCTCCACCGCTGCTGAACTGTCGGTACGCAGGGGGCGCGAACCTGAAAAGACACGGGCCTGGTCACGACGGACAGGGGAGGTGGGGAGGGGAGCCCGTGGCCGCGTAGGAGCAGTCAGTTATGTTCTGCCTGCATTAAAAGTCAACACCTTGGTGCAGTGGTTGAGGGGCTGGACTCCCACATGGGTGACCACGGTTCAAGTCTCAGACCCAGAAGCTTGACACTCATGCCAGGCATGGGTGCATATGTGCTCCAAGTCCCGAGGACAACGGAGGGAGGACTGCAGTGTGACCATTACCTCGGGGGTGTGTGCGTGTGTGTGTGTGTGTGTGTGTGTGTGATTTCTCACTTTCTGTCTCTTGTCGCCACAGGAGCGCACATGCTCTATGGCAAAAATCTCGCCAAAAAGAAAAAAAAAAAGCCAGCACCTCCTGTGGCTAGCAGGTGACACAGTGGTTAAGGCACTAGACCCCCACGTGGCCAGCCACAGCCGGCAGCCTGAAAATCACATGCACATGTGCCCACGTGCCCCAAATCCCAGAGGGGCTGGAGGACTGCGGTGCGACACTCCCCCCGAGGCTGATTATCACTTTCCTTCTCATGGCCTCTCCCGTACCTATGGCAAAGAAGAAACAAAGCCTAAAACAGTCAACAATTCCCAGGCCAGCACACCACCTGGTGGCTGAGGCGGCTGCACGCCACAAGGCCAACCAGTGCCAATCCCTGGGCGTGGTGGGCCGGAACCCTGGAAGGAGGGAGGGTGGGGAGACTGGCCCGGCAGGGGCCCCCTCTTGCAAGCTAAGAAAGCAAGTCATCAGGCCATAAGGGCTGAGTTCACCGGAAGGACAGCCCCCAGCGGGCCTGGCCCGGCTTGGCCACCTTCCCTGCGGTCTGCGCACCCGGAGGAGCCCACTCTCCCCCATGCACTGAGGAGGCGCGGCCTCCGCCACCCCCTCCCCATCAGCTCCAGGGCCCCCGACTCTGGGCCCGTCGCCGAAGCCCGCGCTGCCCGGTCACAGGGCAAGCCGAGCTCTGTCCTCCACCTGGCGCAGGGGCCATGCGGAGGCCTGACCTGTTCCCCAGCGGCTGGCCGCTCCCCCAAAAACACCA